GTCCTTGTAAATATGGGGAGGCGTTAATTGACTCCAATAGAAAGAGAGGGTTTACCCCTAAGTCCCTTGTGATCTCACCTATTTTGAATTTCAGGGTGTCACTAGGTACTGCGACTAGGGATACATCCCAAGTGCTCCTCAATAAGGGTCAGATCCGGGGGGGGAGCAAATTTGTAGGCATGTGGGGTTGACCAATAACATAGCTGGAGGTCACCCCTACATGCAGCTGTAGGAAGCAGTCTACACCCCAGGCAAATCAAGCACATAAACACTATGTTTGGTAAGTGCATACAGTAGTTGCCCACAGATTAGATAAATCAATAAACTGACATGTTTCCCCAACATGAGCTTACAGTATAGATGTACACTTGAACATAGCAATCATGGTCACCTGTTTGAACTCCTAGTTAGCAGGAAGATATGCTCCATTTTTCTAGTGGTTGTAGTGAAGGGAACCAACTGTAATTAGCTGCAGGCCGTCACTGAGTGCCTGCAAGATAGAAAGAAAATGGCTGCCGGGAATCTCGCGAGATCCAAGATGGCCATCGAGCGCACAGACCTAGCGGGAAGAACTCTGCGGGTCCGGAGGAAGAAACAAGTAAACTGCCGCGTTATATCATTAGACAGCCCCAGACACAAGCAGGTGGGAGATTAGAACGGGCGAGACCCCTCCCGTGCACACAGTGCCGCAGCACGTCTCCGGCCGTGGTCGGCTTACGACAGGGTTATGGATGGATAGTGCAAAGGGGGAAATCCAGTGTAAGGCACAATAAAATGGCCTAGAGTGTGACAGGCTGAAGTAAGAATGAGGAAGAAGAGCCAGAAGGCAGTTTTGAAATAGAGTAAGAACAGATAATATCACATAGACAATGAAAGCATTAAGTGACTATAAATAAATCAGTAAGATAATATAATGATAAGGTAATAAGCAAATACTATGACCTGCGTCTCTGCAGGAGAAGCAAAGAAAGAGGAGGAGTAGGGGGCAGTCCTAGTTTTTTTTCGGATTGATCTGTGCTGCTCAGGGCCGGTGCAAGGATTTTTGCCGCCCTAGGCAAAAGTAAAGTTTGCCGCCCCCCCATGTGACATCACAATGCCCCACCCATATGATCTGCCATGTTAACTAACTCCAGTGCTGCAGTGTCGCCGTGTTTACATTAAAAGGCCTGCAGGGACAGGCTATAGACACCAGAACCACTACATTAAGCTGGGTGATGATGGGCTCGAGCTGCAGTCTGGCTCCACTGGTCTGGTGTAGAACAGGATCTCTGGAGGCTGTTTGTAACTGTGGTCACAAAAATCAATGTTCTGGGAGAACGGGAAGCAGCTCCATTTTTTGGGGCCCTTTACACAGCTCAAGGTCTGGGTGCCAGGGTCCCATTCATGTTCCACCAATGAGTTTGTTCACTGGGGGTGGAGTGTGTAGGGAATGTCCTGATATATGTGTGAGGAATGCATTGTGTGAATCTGTGTTTGTATGTGTAAGGGCTGCAAGGTGTGTTTCTGTGTATGTACGGGATGAAGTGTGTGCGTCTGTAAGGGGTGCATTGAGTGTGTGTAAGGGGTGCATTGAGTGTGTGTAATGGGTGCATTGTGTGTTTCTGTGTGTGTAAGAGATGCATTGTGTGTAAGGGCTGCATTGCTTGTGTGTGTGTGTCTGTGTGTGTAATGCATTGTGTGTTTTTCTGTGTGCAAGGGGTGCATTGTCTTTGTGTGTAAGGGGTGCATTGTGTGTGATTGTGTGTCTGTGTGTGTGTGATGGATGTCAATCTCTCCCCCCTCCCTTGTCACTCTCTTCTCCCCCCTCTCCCTCCATTGTCACTCTCTTCTTCCCCCTCTCCCTTGTCACTCTCTTCTCCCCCCTCCCTTGTCACTCTCTTCTCCCCCGTTGTCACTCTCTTCTCCCCTCCCCTTCCCCACTCTCATTCCCCCTCTCCCCTGTCACTCTCACCCCCCTGTCAATTTCTTTCTCCCCCGTCAATTTCCTTCCTGTCAATTTCTTTCTCCCTTCCCTGTCAATGTCTTTCTCCCCTCTGTCAATTTATCTTCTCCCTGTCAATTTCTTTCTCCCCGTCAATTTCTTTCTCCCCCTGTCAATTTAATTCTCCCCTGTCAATTTCTTTTCTCCCCGTCAATTTTTTTCTCCCCTGTCAATTTCTTTATCCCCCTGTCAATTTTTTTCTCCCCGTCAATTTCTTTCTCCCCCCATCAATTTCTTTCTCCCCCCCATCAATTTCTTTCTCCCCCCTCCCCTACCTCTGTTGTAGCATGGCCAAGCTCTGTATGGTCCGCGGGTACAGAGAGCTTTTGTTTCCTGTACCCGGCCGGACTAAAAGGAAGTGCACACTCAGTGCACGGCCACGCTACAGTGAGGGAGTGAAAGGAGGGAGCGTTGAGCGCTTCCCTCCTGTCAGCCCCTCTCCTCATGCTGCACCCGGGCAGTGCGCCCCTCATGGACGCACCAGCCCAGGCAAAGCTGCAGCCGCCTGAGGCTCTCTACAGAGCGCTCGGGCGGCTGCAGCATGAGGGGGGCTGGCGCTCCTGGCGGCGGCCTGGTCTGCCTAACAGGTAGTGCCGGCCCTGGTGCTGCTGGAGTTTTATAGAAAATGAAGTAATGCAAAATATGAACCCTCCTGTCATGTGGTAAAATAGCTCATAACACCTGTCTTGCAAAGTATTTTCATTGAGCTGCATTGAGAAGTCATGATTGGACATCCCCAGAAAATCTAGACTGTGTCAGAAGTGGAGGACTTGTAAAGGCACCAGACAAGAGAATAGACGTTTTTTGCAAGCTGTTTTTAGATATATAGCCACAATAAAAAAATTAAAAAAGCATAATTAAATACATGCATGTTTTAATTTGTAGTATATGTATTAAACAGTGTTTTTTATTTACTTATGTTTGTATTTGGGCGGTGGAGTGTCCCATTACCCTTACTGTGTACAAACCTCTTTAGATTTTCTCCTCACCTCAAGTCAGCTACTCGTCCTCCAAGGTAGACGATTCTCATTCTGTCTACAGACTTTTGGTGTCCTCCCAGGAATTGTGAATTATTCAGTCTGCCTCTTCAATTACAACCAGGACTTTTAAGCAGTTTTATAATGTGGCTATTATTCTAGAAATACTCCTTTTGGAATGTAAAATCTCAAGGAGAATTTATCTGAATTCACCTTATATACTTCAAACTAATGGGAATTAAAATTATAATCGAGAAAGAGTGAAACATGTTTCCTTGATATTAACAACATGTAATTCATTAAAGGTAAAGTAAAAAAGTGGATCTTATCCTTGTGGGTATTGATAAGAATATTGTATGGTATTCTTATCCTTGTGGATATTGGATTGTCAAAACGCACTTCTCAGATTACTTCTCCCAACATTCCAAGATCCAAATTTTAACTTGTTCCTTTTTCCTTAGTTTCTAACTTCGGGATCTGGTGGGGTTTTGTTTTTTCCCACTTGTTGTACCTACATAATAAAACAACCTAGTGTATATTTATTTCAATTATACAATAAAACAACTTAGTGTATATTTATTTCAATTATACAATCTATAATGAATGATCACTTTTCTTTAAGGAACTTGAAATTTGAAAAACAAAACCGTGATGAGTGGTTTCTGTAAAAACATGTAAACCCATGACTTTGCCACACCTTTGTCTTTGCAGCTTGTATGGTATGTGAAAAATGAACCCAGCCTGCACCCTGCATACAATACATTTTTTTATTAAACTTGTTTCTAACTGCTGCTGTTTTCAATAATTTGTAATTCACCTTGGCAAGGGTGTACCCATGTATCTAATGAAAGTGTGTAGGAATTTTAAGGTAATGTGGGAAAACATGTAAGCGTGTTTTAACTTGAAGTAGGTAAGTCTATACAATGGCAATAATAACATTGGTTTTTAATTGCATTAGGAAAAGATACATTTTCAGTTAAATACATATATAGTAACATGGTTTAGATTTACAGTATGGGCAATGTTTATGTAATGTACATTATGCCTGATTTTTAAATTCTGTTCTGTATCACAAATGCAGCTCAGTATTCAGATTTAAGTAAATTAGTTACACAAAAAACAATTTCCTTAAACATTGCATTTATTGTGCAGTGTCCATGTCTTAACCATGAGATATCCATATATTTAGTTATCACATGCGCTTTGACCACTTTTGCTGTTCATCATGTCCATGTCTTTTGCATGCAAAATTTGTGGATTTTGCTCATCACAGAAATAAAGCACAGAGAACGTCTTCAGCAGTATGTATGTTAGTTTTGGCAGTTAGTCCACTCTCAATGTCATACATTATTTGGGTGGTGGTCTCTGCATCTCTGCTGCCTGACAAATACGTACTGATGGAAAACATCATAGAAACATACAATCCTCAAACAACACCACTGAGTAGGATAATTTAGCATTTTGAATAGATAATATTTTTGCGACTGTGAAAAGAAAAGAGCTCCCTGCTTGTGAGTACTGCTCATATTTTGTTTAAAAAGTAAGAGAAATGTATGCAAGAAAAATCATGATGGCATTTCTCATGAGTATTGTAAGGTGTGGATAATCTATCTAAATTTAGATCTCATGTAAAATCTTAGCTTAACTTTCACTCTTCACTTTTGTGGTTTGAGATGTGTTCTAAATAGGGCTAAACTACATTTCATAAAGCGTGCCATGCATAAAATGACAGTCTCATTTTAATCATGTATTTATTTAATCATTATATTGTGCTTACCACATGAATGTAATAGAATTCTAATACTGTTTAAAATACCCCACTGTACTGGTTATAGTGCCAAGAGTGAATTGGTGCACGCCAGCGTACATATACAACTGTTTGACTTCTTAACTTTGGTCCACTGTGTCCCACTCTCCGTCTCCACTACACCCTCCAGAGAGCTGGATGGCAATGATCACAAGCAGTGAGCTAGCTCAAGAGAGCTAATAGAAGCTGTTGAATAGTTCTTGCTCTCCTTGCTGCAGAGGGAAGACAGAGAGAAGCAACAAGCAGACCCAATGTAAGACCGAAGTAAAACTGTTCTAAAATGTATTGACTACTTATAACGCAGTGTGCTCTTGCAGTTGCTCTGGTGCTTTAACCCCTTAAGGACCGCGGACGTACTTGGGACGTCCGACAAAAAAACGGCCCTTAAGGACCGCAGACATGTATAGTACGTCCGTGGCAAATATGAGCCGTCCTTATTACTTACCTGATCGCCGCCATTCCCCCGCTGGCGATCGGTGTTGCTTCCAGCCTGGGGGGACTGCCTGACAGCCCAGACAGCCCGCCCTCAGCAAATTAGGCCCCCGCAGGCCATGTGATCACTCCGAAAGAGCGGTCACATGGCTGCAATAGGTGCTTGTGTATCTGCCTGCAGGGGAACTGCCTAAACTGACAGACTGTCTCCCTGTATCTGTAAAATAAAAAATAAATATTAGCAAATAAAAAAATATATATATGTATAATATGTTTATATATCTTTTATATATAATGTCATACTAAGTGAATTTTTATAATCACTTCACAACCAGAAAAATACCTTTCAGGACCGGTGACGGTCCTGAACTGTCATAACGGAAATATTTACTCACCCGGTCGCCGGTATTTTTACATTGAATCACTTTGTGGGAATAATCTTTATTTTCTTTAGCAGAACCGTCATAAGATGTCAATTATGTTCCGTGTTAGAGATAGGACATATCATTTAATCACCACCACGGGCCGTATATCACGCCCGCAGCACCATCAGTGGCATGCACAACCATATTGATTCCAATGATAAACCACAAGTGGAACGCACGGAAATGCTGAAGTTACTACACTTCCAGTTTGGAATAATCACTCACTGAGGAAACTTATGAATGAGGACCCACACAGGTGAATCAATTCACCTAATTTCAAAGGAGAACACACGCCTATGGATCCACCAATGGTATTAGCCCTATTTAAGAGAACTTGAGGGTGGGCGTGTTAGGCTGTTTTATTGCTGTATGTCATTGTTGCATGCTGCTGTTACACATATTGACTTTTGGTTCCTGAGGAAGTCAAATAGTACTTGGATGAAACGCGTAGAACCAATTCTGTTTTTACTTTATTGGTGTATTTTCACCTTTTATAAATAAAGCCGTTTATATATTTTTTTACCACCATTTTACCACCATCCTCTGGATTTCGGTTCTTAAAGGAACACACACGGACCAGGGCGTGGGTTTACAGCCCCCCAACACCATCGGTGGAGGCACCCTTTGAATGGGTTTATATCTTCAATCTTGTGAGTGCAAAAGATCACCAGCGCACAAATATAATTTATAACAGTAATACACTATATTTTTGTTTTTGTGTTCTCTTTTAGATTATACAGCCATTTCCCATGTTTTGTTGTTTCTATTCCTATATGTCCTGAAAAAAACAATATATAATTTGTATGGGAACAGTAAATGACAAAAGTGTTACAACAGGTCTGGTCCTTAACGTACAACATGGCCAAAACAGTCCGGTCCTTAAGGCGGTTAATATATACATATATTAATATAGAAAACACTTGTAAATAAATTACACACGTGTGTATATATACATATAATATATAATAACTATATATATTGTATATATATATATATATTATTATTATAAAATATAAATAATAAGTAAATAAACAAATTGTAAAATAATTTAAAAAATTATATATATATATATATATATATGTGTGTAATTTTATTCTAACTGTATTTTGATATTATATATTTATATATGTATACGTGAGGTGTGATTCAGAGATTTACGACAGATAACAGTGTTACAATGTCACTATTGATACATTTTAAAAATATATGTTTTGAAACAGCACTTGTACTACTTTTACTTATAGCCCTTTAACTTGCAAAAAAAAGCTAAGAACATTTTAACATTGGGTATTTCTAAACTCAGGACAAAATTTAGAAACTATTTAGCACGCGTGGTTTTTGGCGGTTGTAGATGCGTAACAGATTTTTGGGGTCAAAGTTAGAAAAAGTGTGTTTTTACAATTGTTTCCTCATATTTTAGAATTTATTTTATAGTTAATTATATGATATGATGAAAATAATGGTGTCTTTAGAAAGACCATTTAATGGCGAGAAAAACTGTATATAATATGTGTGGGTACCGTAAATGAGTAAGAGGAAAATTACAGATAAACACAAACACAGCAGAAATGTAAAAACAGACCTGGTCCTTAATGGTAAGAAAATTTAAAACGGTCTGGTCACTAAGGGTTTAATATTGCTTTAATGTACATCCTGGATACCGGAGGCATAATGCTGTGTTCTAAACAGCACGCTCTTCTTGTTATGATATTTGAAGGGCTCCTTTAAAAGCCAATCCATTTTTGAATAGTTTGACACTTATGTTGGTGCACTTCGTGTCTGAAGTATGACCTCTCTTCAGACATTGCCAACACAGAAGTTCCCCCTTGCATTACATTTGCCTATTTTGTCCAAGTGTGTACAGAATTAGTTGGCTGAGGGGTGTCATCTAACACTCTCAGATAATGAATTCATTGGCCAATGGAATTGATATCAATGTGGAATTAAGAACTTCTGTTTTAGTGATATCTATATGAAGAGGGGCTGGACAGAAGGTGCTTGGTGACCTAGTAAAGTGTCAAATTATTTGAAAACAATTTGAGTCTAAACAGTGGCATGGTGCTTTTAGGGCCCTTGAAGCGCCAGAAGGTTAATAAATGTATGGGATTTGAGAACGTCTGGACGTTTAACAGGGAATCGAGGGTAAAGTAGAGAACTAGGTGTAATGGTTATTTTGAATAACTGTGTCTCTTTTTTTCCCCTCAGAACTTGTTATCCAGTCCAGTAATTACAAAATGGTCCATATATTTTCTATATAAACAATGGATCCAAGACGACCACTGTGTAACACCAGAAATTAAAAAAAAAAAATGAGAAACTTGATTTAGATCAGAACTGTTCTGCAGACTTAGGAGGACAAAGCATTACCATAAAATCCATTTAAATAAATATTTTATCCATTTTTTTTTTATCAACTCTGTTATTTTAGTCTAAACTTTAAAACTCATTTGTCAAGTCACATCAACACCATAACTGTTTAGTGTAAAGACACCAATGTCTTTGGGAAATTCACATAATCTATTATTTCATGGCACCTATGTAAACAAAACCACGATTGCATAATTTGAGAAACTCTCAGAAAATGTCTTACACTGTTTGCCCATACAGTCTTTTGGCTTGACCTCTGTGCCTGGGCATTTTTCATGCTACAAGTCTTTCTTTAAAGTTTCTTTTATTTTCTACCAACTCAGTCAAAAAATATAATAGAAGATAATGAAAGAAGAATTGCATTTTTGTGAATTTATTTTAACACAGATGGAAAATGCTTGTTGGCATGGTTACAAAGCTATTTGTGTAAATAAATTGTACAAAAGTATTGATGGTGACTCTTATCTTTTAGATCCAGCAAAGCACGCCAGATAAGAAACTAAAAGAACAAGGGATTGTTATAGCTGTTCTTGTTGAATGTCAACTAACAATTTAAAAAGTATTGAATTAAAAAAAAGTATTCAACAAGAGCAGCATGATGGTAAAATAGGAAAGTACAGAGTGATCGATTTAATAATTTGTTCTATAAAGTCTTTTTTGAAATTCAGTATCCAAAATTGCCTAGCATATTAAAGGAGGGATCTCATCATTGATTTATAAAGAGATAAACTTATATTTTCAGCAAGCAAATCAATATTTTGTTTTATACACAAGAATGCCATACAGATATTTGGAACAGCATTGCTAAGTCTGTTGTCCACAAGTCCTTCTCATACAAACATATATCTTGAATGCAACTTTAGCATCTTTTTCCAAAACGCATAAAAAACAAACAGACATATGGGAATATCTGCACATAAAGAAGGCCCTGACAAAGGTGCACACAATGTGCACCGAAACGCGCATTGGGCAACCTCTCTACTTCACAGGGCACACACTATCACGTTGGTGTATCATCCCATGCACACTTAAAGCATGGAAAATTTTAAATAGCACGTAACTTTTTCTTTCTTTTTCAATCTCTGACTGTCTAGTGAGTTTAACAGGGAGAGAGGCTTTTTCTCAATCTATGCTGTACGACCATTTAGTTTAATAGAACCTAGTACCTTAGGAGACAATTGTACCTTGTTACCACTATATTAAGACATAAGTACTCAGTATGTCTATATAGGTAAAAGTTATATCTTAAACTAGAGATCTATACCTGCTACATTTATCCTGTAAAAGTATATGTTATAAGTATTAATTGCGTTCATGTTGTTAACTTAAAGAAATGTTGCACATTGTCCAATGTTTGTATAGGAAGCACTGTAGTTTGAAACTCTATACATATGAGTTGTATCCCATTAAGGTGATTTGATGTAATTTCGCTGTTTATGCAAGTAACTGAACTCCACTGTATAACCCTGTTTATAATCCTTTCGGTGAAACTCTGTAAGCAAATGTATTTTGTATTCCATATCATTTATAGTTTAAACGGTGCTAAAGATATTGATGTTGGTGGTGTTCAGAGCATTCCTGCACACATCTATGCAAAGAATAAAATACTGCACCCGTCAGAACCTCTCTTCTCCCTTCTTTATTGATGCCAAAGGGCTGCTACACCTGGAATTGTATTGGCCATTGTTTTCATTATATTCTATATATTTTATATCTCGTGAATAGTATGTCCTCTTTTATATTTTACAAAAAGTGCAGATTTCAATAGAAAAGTTAACTAAATTAACTTAGTTATGCGCCTCTGTCCTGTTAATTTCTTGTAGTTTATCTCAGTGGTGTATTTAGGATTTGTGCTGCCCTAGGCAGGACGGTGCTCACCCGCCCTCCCCCCCCCCAATTTAAATTTCCCCCACCCCTTCCTGTCAAGGCCGCACTTTGACTGACAGACGCTCACTCACTGAAGAGAAACACAGGCAGCACTGCAGGATATAGAAGGTAAATTTATTCGTGGGTTCACCACCTCACCAGAATAAGTGCCACGTTTCGGCTCCTTAGAGCCTTAATCATGCATAAGGGATACAGCATAACAGCAGCATAAAGAAAAAGAGAATTGGAGGTAACAGTACTAAATGGTTAAAAAAACTGGGGAATCACTTTGATGATATGGTAGATGAAGAAATGTATGGAATAAAATGTCACTTTTAATCTTGTAGCTAAAAACCCTTAAATATAAGGACTATATATATATATATATATTGAACACACTGACACACAAACACTAAATAAGGAAAATTGAGGTGAATAACATAAAATCAAGATATCAAGCATAACAGCAGAGTTTTAATTAAAGATTACAATCACATGTTAAAACATATGTATAAGTGACATCTAAAAACAAGACATGGAGTCTACTCAAGTATAGGATCAGGATTTAAAGATGCAGTAATATATTATACAATCACACAGTAATACACTCATCTCTAGTTAATATTCCATAGCATGAAAATGTCAAATATCCTGTATAGTACAAGTCAAACTGCATATATAAACCCATGCAATGGGCAAAATTACAATAATTAATTAGAAAGTACTATCTAAATCAGGAGTTCTCAACCCAATCCTCAAGGACCCCCTACCAGTCCACAATTTAAGGATTACCCTATTGTGTCTAAAGTGTTTGTTCTCTCCCAAAAAACACATTAGACACAGCAGGGTAATCCCTAAATCCTGGACAGTTCAGGGGGGCCTTGAGGACTGGGTTGAGAACCCCTGCTATAAAGGAAGTCTATTTGAATAAATAGTTAGACTCTTAAAGATACAGTAGCCTGTTTAGTAACATGATTATATGCTCATCTATGGTAAATATTCCATAACATGAAAAAAATCAGATATCATGTCTAATGCAGCAAGTTAAACTAGCATATTTTAAATCCACATACCAGGCAATTTTTTTTAGATAATAGATTAGAAAGTACAATACAAATGAAGTCTATTTAAATGTATGATACAGATCTTAAAGGTACAGTAACTTAATATATAGTACCATAATAATATATTCCTCTATAGTGAATATTCCATAACATGAAAGAAGTCAGATGTCATGTCAAATATAACAGATAGGACTAGCACCTAGGAATATCTATGAAGCTGGCAAAGTATCAATGACTAATTTGAGAGAAAGATAGGAATAAGAGGATAAATATTTTTCTCTCTGAATAATTGGGGATACAAGGGGATCTCAACAGATAAGGACTTAGTTATTCTAGAATTTAAAGAATCCCCAAAACCTCAGAATATAATAAAAATGAAATATGAATTATATGGGTGACAAAAAAAATCACAAATGTGATTCCGAAAATTCCTAAAGTAGCACCACCACATGTGGGTGGGTACAAGAGGGTACGATGTAACTTCGAGACGTTCACTCACTGACAGATGCACACTCGCTGACAGATGCATACACTCATTAAAAGACACACACTCTCATATACACTGACAAACAATGACATACGCACACACTCACTGACATGACACACTGATAGACAGACACACACTATTACTTGGACACACACACTGACAGACTCACACTCACTGACAGACGCACACACTGACAGACGCATGCACTCACTGACCGACACATACAAACTCACTAACCGACACACACACATTCACTCACAGACACACACTTAGACACATTCACTTACAGACACACACACATTCACTTAGACACACACACACACTTACAGACACACATTCACTTATACACACACTTACAGACACACACACACACACATTTCCACCAACACTCACAAATTATTATTATGTTTTTATTTTATTTTAATTCCACTCAGCCTCCCTGGGAGAGCTGGAGTAGATTACTTACCTGCAGTCCAGTGTGGCTGCTGGGCGGGCAGGCAGGGGGCGGACAGGCTGAGTAGGCAGCGAGGGAGCTTTAATCTTCCTGCTCAGCAACCTCGCGCGCCGCTTACTGATGCCAGGAGCAGGAGTGACGTCATATTCCGGCTCCCAGCTTCATTAAGCGGCGCGCGAGGGAGCTGAGCAGGAAGAGCTCAGGTGAGCATGCTCCCTCGCTGCCTGACGCCCACCTCGGGGGGCTCAAAAGTGGCCAGCTCTTGAGCCCCCCAGGACACGAGGCAAACAAGGGATCTGCCTGGGCGTTTGGGGGCGGCTTTTTTTGCTGCCCCCTGTAAAGTGACGCCCAAGGCAGATGCCTTGTTTGCCTCGCGGAAAATACGTCACTGGTTTATCTCATTGGAGCTAAACTCAGGGGGCAGGAAATTTCCCAGAGCACCTGCCTTGTAAAGACTTCTCATTGAGCTGCATTGGGAAGTTAGTGATTGGACAGCCACAGAAAATTTGGACTGGGGAAGAAATAGAGGACTTGTAAAGGCAGCAGGCAAGAGAATGGACACTTTTGCAAGCTCTTTGTAGATATACCCACAATGGAAAAAAAATCCTAATTAAAGGGATAATCCAGACCCTTAAACAACATTACCTTGCTGAAAATATTTATGAGTGTGTTCTATTTTTTTAATTATGGAAAAGGTATAGATTTCCATGAAAATTGGCACTTTTATAAATTATGCTGGTTATACTCCCCCTGGCCTTTTAAGCAGACAACAAGTCCTGTTACTTCCCGGTTTGGTTAGCTTATCTTCACTGAACTCATTGAGCTGCATTGGGAAATGTGTGATTGAACAGTCACATAATGTCTTGGCAGGATTAGAGGAGGAGGGATTGCAAAGGTAGCAGACAAAAAATCTGCAGTTTTTGCAAGCTCTTTTTAAATATAGCTCCAATAAAAATAAATTTAAAAAAAGCATAATTAAATGAATGCAAGATTTATTTTGGAGTATATCAATTAAACAGTGATTTGTATTTATTTTGTATTTGGGCAGTAGAGTATCCCTTTAAATGCATGTCTGTTTTAATTCAGTGTATATCTACTAAACAGTGATTTTTATTGATTTATTTTTCTATTTGGGCAGTGGAGTGTCCCTTTAACCTTACTGTGCACCAACCTCTTCCGATTTCCTCTCTTGGCAGCTTGGCTACTCCTCCTCCAAAACAGATGATTCTCACCCTGTTTACCGATGTTTGGTACCCTCCCAAGAACTGTGAATTATTCAGTCTGCCTATTCAATTATAACCAAGCCTTTTAACCCCTTAAGGACCAAACTTCTGGAATAAAAGGGAATCATGACATGTCCCACATGTCATGTGTCCTTAAGGGGTTAAACAGTTTTATAAATGTCTCCATTACTCTGAAAAGACTCTCTTTCAAATGTAAAATCTAAAGGAGAATATATCAGAATTCACCTTATATATTCCTGCTAATGTGAATTAAAATTACAATCCAAAAAGAGTGGAACATTTTTCCTTGATATTAACTACATGCAGTTCATTAAAGGTAAAGTAAAAAAGTTGATATTATGCTTGTGGATATTGGATTGTCAGAACGAACTCATTGGATTACTTTTCCCAACATTTTATATTCATTTGTCTTTATATTCCTGGTCTGTGTGCAAGACACATAATTGCTCTACTTACAATTAAAGAGCATACACAAAGCAAACATTTTCAATATTTACCTGTCTGTGTCTGGATACCTTCATTTGAGCAGTTCCTGTCCAGTAGGCGTTAGCACCTGCAGGGAGGCAATAGAAAAAATGCGTGGAATTGGTGAAATTTCACCTATGGCTGTATGTTTGTGTATGTATGTATGTATGACTACACAATTATATACAATATACATGCATTACATCCCACTTAGGACAAGCTTGGTCTTCTTGTACATTCATGCTAAAAATATGTTGGTTCATTAAAAAAAAATTAAAAAAAATACATGTGTCATATAAACTACGTTATGACATGTCAAATATAGTAATACGATTATTAAAAGCCCTACAGTATAATTCTACTTTAATACCTTTGTACAATCCTAGAATAACTGAGATTCAACGTGTTGTAATTTACTGCAAATTACATTTTACCATAATGCATATAATTTTATCAACATATGATAACATTTAAAATATGAGGTCGTCATCATTTTTTAAAAATGTACAGCTTCAGGGGAATATTTAAGTTGATGAATTACATGAAATGTATGGGAATGTTGTAATCTGCATATTTCCAATTACAACTTTGAACATGTTTCACCAAAATGTCTATTCTTCAAAGGCTTTTCTTTTGCACTATGTGAAAAATATTCTAATGCAATTAACAAAGAACAACTAGTTTGTTCTCTCCAATGAAAAATAAAGCCAAACTATTTAAATACACACACACACAAGTCTATATATGTGCCTCATGCCATACCAATTCATACCAGCGAGGCAGTGATTTTCTGCGACCACTCAGACTATCACTGCCATATTTGTCTGCTTGGGGTGAGGCAGAGTCATTGGAGGCCAGGCTGCTGGGGACTGAGCATCTCTGCTAAATATTGAGTAAACCGCCTGGCTGAAACTGGCCCCCACAAGCACCAAAACCAATTTAACCCCTTAAGGACCAAACTTCTGGAATAAAAGGGAAT